CCAGAAAGTGTTTTAACATCCCACTGAAAATGAGCAGGAAAATATTTAAGAATCATCTAATTTCCTCTGCCAGCACCTCTTACCCTACTATCATGCAGCCAATTCTAACTAAGTGATCAGTTTCTGTGACAAATAAAATGCTGATACACTTCTATACTGGTGACAGCATCAATCATCTGATCAGAATCTCCTAATCAGGTTTGGTGATGGCATCATGAATGGTGATGTCACTGAAACTGATACTTTTCAGATCTATTAGGTAAAATCAGGTCAGAACCCATAGGTATACTCTGGAGGCAGGTATCTTATTCTTAATCCACCAAGCCACAGATCCACATTATTCATTAATTTCATTGTCTTTTATTAGGATCGTTGTTTTCCTCATCTTCAAAAGATGATAAACCTTGAGAAACATCAAGAAACTCAGTGCAAACCTTTCGAGTATAATGAAGAGTTACTGGCAAAGACAGCATCCATCAAAGACATATGCAAAACAAGGTATATTTATGCATAGATTTTAAATGTAGCGATATGCCGTAAAGTTTTTTTTCAAACTTATTTTCCTCTCTATTTAGACACTTTTATTTACTTATTTTTTCCCCTTCTCAGTCAATTTTTTATTATTTACAACTTATATTGCATATATTATCTTAACACTCTGCCCGCCAAACACCAAGATCTCTGTGTTTGGTAACACAACGCTTGACTGCCAAACACAGAGATCTCCATGTTTCATCCGATAGATGGGGTAATTGCCGACATGTACTAACAATTTGAACGCTATATTCAGTCTCCACTGTAAGTATTTCACTATTTGTTTGTTTACGTTGAGCGTAGCGGTATTGATGTACTCTCACAAAATCACGATTATCTCAGCTTTGTTGTGCGAAATTGCATAAATTTCCAAAAGTGAGTCATTTTCATTTTACTGTTATGAGTCAATGATTGTGATTAGAATAAAGTGTTCGGTACCATTGTAAAGCTAAGATGTTTGTAGTTCTTGTAGTATTCACTACATGTCAATCTGATCACTTACGCACTCTCAACGAGCTTCGGAAAAGTGTTAAAATTTGCTAAAATATCTGGAGGTGGCTGATACTATTTTTTCAATAACCCCTGGGAGTGGCAGTCAGAGTGTAAAGCTTACTAAAATGTGTGTGGAAAAACAATAAACAAACAATTTTATATTCTGCTACATATACAATAGTGAGTGTAGGGTGCTACATACAGCAGTTAATTTTTTTTTGGTAACCAATCAAGTATGTGGGGAGTTGATTTTGTGTAATTTTATCAACTATTCTCAATGTCTTCATTTGTTCTTTGTTTTCTTGCAGACCATTCCAACATGGAGCTGATCTTGTGCATTCATTGTCAACTATTCTCAATAATTATCCTGAGGATCATCATGCTATCCCAGCAAGCTTTGCCTTGGAGGGGCTCTGTGCTCTGTGTGAGGCTGAAGTAGTGGATATTCGGTCTACTTGGAATCTGCTGGCACCTAAGCTGCAACAGGATCAAAGGTTGGTACTCGGTGGCGTAGACTGGTTTTGGCCTGGGGGGGGTGTTGTGAGGGGTACAAAAATTGAGAATGCGCAGCTAACTATTCAAATGAAAACTACTGTACATTTTTAGTATTTTCGAGTGGAGTTGAATTATAGCTTACTATAGTTAAGATGCTTTTCTTCTAATCCCAAGGTCCTGGGTTCAGTTCCTGTAACAGGACTTTCTCTCATGACAAAATCAACTCCACTCCCTAAGCCTCAATAAGAGAATTAGCTTGTAAAGCATCGTTACATGTAAGTGGCGAGTGTAGTAACAGAAATTACAGAACTTTTATTGGTCTTGTCAAAGCAAAAGTACAGTACAAGAAATTACTTCGTTGTTGGCAAATCATATTAAAAATCACTACAGAATACAGTACAAATATTAAAAACTGTATATTCGAAAAAACAACAAAATATTAAGCAAAGATAAAAAATGTTACATTAATGTTAGTTACTTTAAACATTAAAAATATTAAGTTAATTATGAGTTGAAATAATATTGTAAATACAGTAGTTTATTGCACTCAGTTATGAGTAGAAAAGAAGCATTTAAATCAGTTACTATTACATTGTTCTGGTTTGGAAAACATTATTTTATTTGAAAATACTACCGTAGTTCCCCGGGTATAATTCCACCCGCCCCTCCCATGAATGCGAAATTAGAGTTTACTCGAACATCAAAGGGAAGAGAACACCCTAATTAGTAGGCCTAGCACCTAGCTAAAGAGGCCATATCTTGGTGTTACCTCGAGCTAGGCCAGCCTTTGCCTAAACTTTCTTGACGTCGTAGGTTGTTTTTTGCCCAGCAACACCCAATCCAACCAATTACCCATCACATGTGAAGACTGCCCACTTGTAATGCATGATGTAACAAGTTATTTTTAGCTGCGAGAGTCTGTGTGGAACATGTGAGTCTTCATGCTGTGAATTAACAATCCGATCAGCCCACTAGGCGGGTCTCTTTAGGGACAAAACGCGGTGTTTATTTTTAGCCGCAGCTGTGGAGCATGCAAGTCTTTACGCTGTGAATTAGCAATCCAATCAGCCTACTGGCCGTGTCTCTTAAGGGACGGACTGCGGTGTTGCCTATTTTTAGCCGCAGTTAATAGCGAGCTTGTTTATTTTAGCAACAGTAAACAACAAGAATTTACAAGAATGGGCTTTGTATTCAACTATACGGCAGCCAATGTCTGGTCTAATCAATTAGGAGTTTTAGGTCTGCTGAATTCCGAGCCAAATCCTTTATATTTTGTGAGCATTTGTTAAATTTGTAGACCTAGACCTAGGCCTACTTTATACTTAAATTATACCCTGGGACTTTGCCCGGGGAAATGCCTGTACGCGGAGTTGGGGCTAAAGTCGTGGGTGGGATTATACACGAGGTGGGACTATACACGAGGAACTACGGTGTATATATATATATATATATATATATAAATTTAATGGCAAATGGGATAAACCCTTAAAAACAATGAGCAGCCACATAAATGCAAATAATGATAATATAAAGTTTAAACGGAACAGTAGAGAAAATCCGATCAAGAATGACAAAACAAACTAAATATCCACTGGAAAAAATCCCAAAATCTGCAGACGGATCCGTTTCGGCCTTCTAGGCCTCATCAGTGCAGCTAGGGTAAAGATGAAGACCAAACGTTATGACCAGCTTGAGTAGGGCCTAGGCT